GTTTTCTTTAGCCTGTTACCAACAGCTTGGAAATTCAGTTAGAGGACATAACCCAAATGTTCTCCAAATGTTCCTTCCAAATGGTCATCGTGAAAAGTGCTGTTTTAAGGCGTGCAACCTTTCTGCACTAAGAGAGGGCTGTCGTCCTGCTTACCCAACTGTGGGGGAATTATCTGGAGATTAAAACCACCGATGATAAAGATAGTGCCGCCAAGCTGCTTTAATTTGTTGATAACTAAAGCACAAGAGGCCTCTTACAGGCTTCTCGAAGCCTCACTATTGTGTAGTGCACATTCAACCCCTGCTTGTGTGCTGACACAAACAAATAAATGCGATCATAACGGTTGAAATGTAGTTAGAAACACAATTGAGAACATCTGTATTGTAAGCAGAAATATATTAGAAATACTGAAGTGTTGTGTAGCTGTGAAAACGAAGGAATAAAAAAAATAACCCACAGTACCTGGATTAAGTGGTTATAAATAATTTATAAAGCAAAAATCTCATTACCCCCTGTGTAAACTCCCCCCTCAATGAAATATATTTTATGAATGTAGTAACACTGTAATAACCAAAGCATTTGTTTTTCCCCACAAACTTTCCATTTCATAACTGGGAGATTGTTTGGATTTACAAGTTCAGGACGAAACATCCCCGAGTTTACTGGTTTTGCTTTCTTCCTTGTGACCTTCAGCTCCGGAACTCTGTGGGGCTCTGCATGCCTTATCAGAATGCTGCTTTGCACATGTGAAAGTTTTCCCCGAATACCTTTCTGTAAATATGTTGGCAGAGGTGAATACAGATCCCCTCAGCGCTGGGGGAAGGGCCTTGAAACTTGCATTGCAGTACCCGGGGGGAGGGTAGGGGGCGCACTTCCTGCCCAGGACTATGTCACCCACGTGACTCCTGCAGTCCAGACCACTGTCAATAGACCCAGTCATCTCGTCTGTGTCACTAAATAGAGTGACAGTTGCCAAATTAGCGAGTTTGTCCAGCTGAGCTATGGGGCCATTACACGGGTGACCAGGATTTTCCACCAGGCACTATCCTCAACATAGCCAGGATCTAAGGGGAGCTTGATTGTCTATACACTCACTCACCCCTGCAGCTCTTCCCTCTCCAGTTTCTTGGTTCTTTTTTCCCATCATAAACCCGTAGTCAGACTCTGGAACATCACGAGACCTGGCGGCATGCTCAAGGGTTAAGCATGACTCTGGTGTCCTGTTGTTTATGAACCCCAGTTCTTCTGAGTCATGCAAGGTGAACCCCCATATCTTTAATAGATGCTAGGGAGGGAGGTAAAGCGGAGGAAGTTGGCTCACTACAACCTTTTATGTAACAGGAGACACCCTAAGCCTAATCGGCTCCTACCTCAAATACCTTGTGATTCCTTCTGAGCTTTTAATTAATGAGTTAACGTACATCCTATCTGGCTCTCCTGGAGTCCTTGGAATGGTTCCTAAGTGAACCACAGGTATCCACAAAGATAACTGTCTGATTCTAGCCTGAAGCCTGGTCAGGTGCAGCTCCACTCTCATGACTTGTGACCATGTTCTATTTCTGCCTCACCCATTGGAATAGCCGTGTGGCTAAGCCACTAAGCAGAATGACCCCGTTAGACTCCCTTCTGGTAAGAAGTCACTCATGGACTCATCTTTGGAATCACATTCAGAAACATGTAATTTCTCCTTGTTCAGGAATGCAGCCAGTGGGGGAAATTACTAGGTTATGAGTCAGAAGATTGCTCTGACGTCTTCTTGAATCTACCTGAGTGACTTTGGATTCGTCCACCTCTGAGCCTCACTTATTATTGAAAATGGGGATAGTATTACCTCACACTTTTTACTTTAGTGTGACCTAAATAAAGTCATGCACACAAAAGGGCTATTTATGCAGTGTCATTGAATGGTTTAGAGCGTTATGTGTTCTTGAAGGGTATGGTGTTATTTGTCTTTGTTCAGGTTACCATAACGAAATACAACACACTGAGTAGCTTGTCAGCCAAAAAAATTCATTTCTCTAAGTTCTGGAGGCTGGAAGTCTGCACTCTCGGGGCCAGCGTGGTTGACTGAAGGCTCTCTTACTGGGCTGTAGACTTCTCAGCTTCTGACTGTGTCTAGGCCTGCTCCAGTAGAAGGGAGGATCTTTCTGGAGCCTTTTAAAATTTAAATTTACTTATTTTTAATTGAAGGATGATTGCTTTACATTATTTTTAGTTTCTGCCATATATCAACACGGATCAGCCATAGGTATACATATGTCCCCTCCCTCCTGAACCTTTCTCCTGCCTCCCACCCCATCCCAGCCTTCTAGATTGTCACGGAGCACTGGATTTGTGCTTCCCGTGTCATACAGCACATTTCCACTGACTATCTAATTTTGCATATGGTAATGTATATGTTTCAATGCTACTCTCTGTTTGTCCCACTCTCTCCTTGCCTCTCTATGTCCACAAGTCTGTTCTCTGAGGGCATCGATCTCATTACAAGACCTCTGCCCCCATGACCTCATCACCTCCCATGGCTAGCTCTCTGACACATCAGCTCAGGGGTTAGGATTTCAACATGTGAGTTTTGGGGGGACACCAAGCATTCAGAATATGGCATCTTTATTAAAAGGAAATTTCTATCCTACCTATATTACAATATAGTTGGTTTGAGGATCAAATTAAATGAAATATGTGCAGAAGGCTTTGCACTTCACTATATCATGAATGGAGGGGCAGAGCACTCTCAGCTGGGTGGCTTGTGGTCAGTAGGTTAATGTACACATTTGCCAGAGCAGCACAGTTTTCTAAACCAAAGAGAGGATGCATAGGCTGGAGACTTTAAATCTGGTCTTATGATTATCAAGACTTTTTTTAAATTGTGAGCACCTCAATCAATTGTTTTGAGATTTTTGGCTCATTTCTTTTACTTCTAATATGAAGAAACAGCAGTCATCCTTTTACATGGTCTTTGGGAAAACATAACTCAAATAAATTCCAAAGATAGATTTTAAGGACAAAGTTATGTGAAGGACAGAAATTGTGTGTGGACTCTCTCAGCAATGAATAGGCACGTCTCCACATACCCCTAGGATCTCAAGCTGATAATGTAACAACGAGAACCTATTGAATCAGGACAAGGGAATGGTTCTGCTCGTGTGACAATCTAGGTCTCAGAGTCTGGTATGCAGGCGGGGTGGAAAGAGCAGATTGCATTTTCAGGAGAAAGGTTAAGCTTGAATGTTTTGGACAGGAGGTGGTTTAGATGCATTTTTAAAAAGTCCTTGAATTTACCTGATGAGTTTTGTGTCCTTGTGATGGTTGTAGCCTATTGCAGGGTAGGAATAAATTTAGCAACACAAAAGAGGTCATTTAAAAATCTCTCCTTTCAGATGCCCCATTTCGTCTGGTGCCCCTTCTAGCTTTCTCTTCACAAATTTGGCAGCCTGTGAGGCTGCCCTTCTGATCATGAGTTTACAATTAGTGGTATATGGTTTCAGAAATGTTTCAAAACTTTTATAGAAGAGTTGTGAAAAGGTGGAGGTTTCCAGAAAACCCATAACAGAAGTTCAGAGATCCATTTATTTATTTATTTAGACTTTAAAACAACATTTCAGTTTAAACTAATTTTAGGCTTGAAAATGTTGAAAAAAATACTATAAAGTATTCCTTTATATCCCTCACTCTGCTTCTACTTATGTTAAAGTCTTTCATCACCATTATAATTATCAAGAATAGGAGATTAATATTAGTACAGTGTTAGTTACTAAACTATAGACTTCATTATAAATTCACAAAGTTTCCTACAAATATCATTTTCCAGTTCCAGGATCGTATCCAGAACCTCACATTGCATTTTGACTCCAATCTGTCACAGTTTCTCTGTCTTTCCTTGTCCCTTATGACTGACTCTTTTAGAAGACTAGTGATCAGTAATTTTGTAAAATATTCTTTAACTTAGCTTTGTCTAATGTCTTCTCATGACTGGGGTAAGATTATGCAGGTTTTGCAAAAATACCACAGAAATGATATTGTGTCCCTTTTCAGCATATCATATCATATGATATAATGCCAATATGTCTTATTCAGCTCAGGTCAGTTCACTCACTCAGTCGTGTCTGACTCTTTGTGACCCCATGGACTACAGCACGAGAGGTTTCCCTGTCCATCACCAGCTCCTGGAGCCTATTCAAACTCATGTCCATCATGTGGTGATGCCATCCAGCCATCTCATGCTCTGTCATCCCCTTCTCCTCCTGCCTTCAATCTTTCCCAGCATCAGGGTCTTTTCCAATGAGTCGGTTCTTTGCATCAGGTGGCTGAACTATTGGAGTTTCAGCTTTAACATCAGTCCTTCCAATGAATATTCAGGACTGATTTCCTTTAGGATTGACTGGTTTGATCTCCTTGCAGTCCAAGAGATTCTCGAGAGTCTTCTCCAACACCACAGTTCAAAAGCATCAATTCTTCAGCGCTCAGTTTTCTTTTTAGTCCAAATCTCACATCCATACATGACTACTGCAAAAACCATAGCTTTGACTAGATGGACCTTTGTCAGCAAAGTAATGTCTCTGCTTTTTAATATGCTATCTAGGTTGGTCATAACTTTCCTTCCAAGGAGCAAGCGTCTTTTAATTTCATGGCTGCAATCACCATCTGCAGTGATTTTGAAGTCTTCCCAAAATAAAAAGTCTCTCACTATTTCCATTGTTTCCCCGTCTATTTACCATGAAGTGATGGGACCAAATGCCATGATCTTAGTTTTCTGAGTGTTGAGTTTTAAGCCAACTTTTTCACTCTCCTCTTTCACTTGCATCAAGAGGCTCTTTAGTTCTTCTTTACTTTCTGCCATAAGGGTGGTGTCATCTGCGTATCTGAAGTTATTAATATTTCTCCCAGCAGTCTTGATTCCAGCTTGTGCTTCATCCAGCCCGGCATTTTGCATGATGTACTCTGCATGTAAGTTAAATAAGCAGGGTGTCTTAATACTGGCGTGTCTTATTACTGGTGATATTTACTCTGATCTCTTGGTTAAGTTGGTGCCTGCTTGTTTCTCCACAATGAAGTTACTATCTTTCCCTTTGTTACTATCTTTGAGGCTTGATAAGTACTTTGAGGCAGGTACTTTCAGTTTATTCAAATTTTCTATCATTCTTGAATTTCTTCTGCATGAAATATTAAGCACCTAAGAAAAGGAAAAGCCATGACAAACCTAGACAGCATATTAAAAAGCAGAGACGTTACTTTGCTGACAAAGGTCCATCTAGTCAAGGCTATGGTTTTTTCAGTAGTCATGTATGGATGTGAGATTTGGACTAAAAAGAAAGCTGAGCGCCAAAGAATTGATGCTTTTGAACTGTGGTGTTGGAGAAGACTCTTGAGAGTCCCTTGGACTGCAAGGAGATCAAACAGTCAGTCTTAAAGGAAATCAGTCCTGAATATTCATTGGAAGGACTGAGGCTGAAGCTGAAGCTCTAATACTTTGGCCACCTGATGTGAAGTACTGACTCACTGAAAAAGACCCTGATGCTGGGAAAGATTGAAGGTGGGAGGAGAAGGGGACGGCAGAGGATGAGACAGTTGGCTGGCATCACTGACTTATTGGACATAGTTTGAGCAAGCTCTGGGAGTTGGTGATGGATAGGGAAGCCTGGCATGCTGTAGTCCATGGTGTTGCAAAAAGTCAGACACAACTGAGCAACTTAACTGAAGAAAAGGAAATTCACTCTTTGATGATTTGCTTCTTTTCACGTAGTATATGTGAAACATCAGTTCTAGAGGTTTTTTTCATTGTTTTATACAGTTGCATAGTACTCTATGCAATGTACTCTATGGCAATATTAGTCTATTCAAGCACTCTTCCACATATGGGCATTTAAGTTGTTTCTAGTGTTTTGCAATTACAAACAATGAGGCAGTGAATAAATTTGTGCACATGTGTGCTTACATTGTTGGAGATGTGTCCCCTAGAACTGAGATTGCTAGGTTAAAAAGAAAATGCATATGCAATTTTGTTAGGCATTGCTAAATGTTCGTCTAGAAGGGTTGCAATAATTTGCATTCTTATTAGAAATGTAGGTAAGTGCCTGTTTCTCCATAGCTTCAACAATAAGCTTAACTAATAGAACATGATCCCATATTTTACATGTTTTGCCAGTCTGATAGGTGAAAAATAGATTGGTTGGAGTATGAATGAGTTTGAGCAGTTTCTCGCATGTTTGAAGGCTTTTTTTTTAATCTTTGGGATGTATGTGTGAATTTTCCTTCCTTTTCCTATCAGGATTTGTGTCCTTTGTCCATTAATAATTAAGATTTCTTTGTATATAAAGAATATTAGCCCGTTTTTCTGGTATATATTACAAATATTTTCTTGCCATTCATCAGTTGTCCTGTGATCTTGTTTATGGTGCTATTTGTCATGCAAAAATTCTTTCATTCAAATGCAGTCAAATTTATTAACTTCTCTCTGGTCTCTGATTTTAAACCATAGGTAGAAGTCTTTTTCTTACCACGGTTAAAGAATAGAATAATATAGCTATGTTTTCCTCTATATGATTTGACTTCAATGTTTATATTTAGATATTTAATCCACTTGGAGTTTATCTACTGTATGATGTGAGATATAGATGTATTTTAACTTTTCCAAATGATTACATACTTGTTTCAGACTATTTATTAAAAAGTTCATCTTTACCCCAGTGATTTGAAATGCCATTTTTTTAATATACTAAATTTCCATGTGATTTGGAGGCTCTATCTGGACTGCTTTATTCTAGTCTATTTGTCTGTTTCTCTACTCATGTTCCACATTGTTTTAATTATCAAAGCTTTATAGAATATTTTAATTTCTGATAAGAACTAGTCATCACACAGTTTTTCTTTCTTAGTGTTTTTCTACCTATCTTTGCATGCTTTTTTTTCCATTTGAATTTTAGTATCAAATTGTCTAACTTCAGAAAATAGCTTGCTATTATTTTATTGATATTATATTCAATTTTTATTAACTTTGGGAGAACATTTTTTTTATAATAACTACAGTCCTATTAAGAATAGAGGATGTCTTTCCATTTTTTCTAGCCTTAATTAGTGTCATTCAAGAGTGTTTAAAAATTTTTCCTTTTGTAGGTTTGTATACTTTTTGTTAAATTTACTTGTAAGTACTGCACTTTGATATTGTTGTTGTAAATGGGTTTTTATTTACCATGATTTCTTCTGTTTATTATTTCTTTATATGAAGGGATTTGATTTTAATGAGCTAATTTCATATCCTACTACTTCGGTAAATTCTTTCATCGTTTGAGTTAGTTTTACTACTGATTCTTTGAATTTTCCAGGTTTATTATATCATCTGCAAATATAGTTTTCTTTCTTTAGCCATTCTTATGCCTCTAGTTGATTTCTTTTGTCTAATTGTATTGTCCAATAGTACTAATAATAGTAGAGATCATAGGCATTTGTGTTCCTGATGTTAGTGGAGATGGCACTAGTGTTCTTCATTAAATAAGATATTGACTTTGGAACTATTCATTATTTCAAGAAGTATCTTTCAATTCTTATATATTGGAGTAATTTTATCATGATTGCGTTGAATTTAGTCAAATGCTTTCTCAGTGTCTATGGAAATTGTCCTATCATTTTTTTTTCCCTTTAGACTTATTATTTGTAGTAGGCTGAATAATGGCCATCAGGTCCTAATCCCCAAAAGCTGTAAATGCTACCTTTTACAATAAAACTGTTGTAGATATGATTAAATTAAGGAACTTCAGATGAGGAAATTATCCTGGATTATCTAAGTGGACCCTAACTGATATCACACATGTGCTTGTAAAATAGAAATAAAGTGAGATTAGACACCTATGTAGGGGAGAAGGTGGTGAGAAGATAGAGGCAGAGATTAGAGTGATATAGTCACCAGATAAGACACTGATATGATTTAGTTGGATGAAGCTCCTTCTTTGGTAGATTCTTTATGAACAATCTATAGGTATAGAATTTCATAAGTTCTTGTACATTAAAAATTGTTATTTGATATTTGAAAGATAACTTGACTGTATATAAAATCCTTTGTTCACAATTTCTTTCATTAAACTTTTAAAAAATGTTAGTCAATTATCACCTTTTTTGTACTTTGATTTTTTAAAACTCTGATGCCAGCTGAATTTTCTTGACATCATTAGTTTTGCCAAAAACAAGTTTTGAAAAAATTATTTGTTCTTTTTGTCTGGAGGTCTTGAAGATTTTATCTTTGCATTTGAAATCTAAGAGTTTATAAGCATATGTCTCAGTTATTATTTACTTTTCTCAGATACTTAGTAAGCCTTTCCAACCTAGATTCATGTCTTTCTCTAGTTCTGGAAATTTTTTTTTGGATTATAATTTTAAAGACTAATTGCACATCATTTGTTTTCTTTTTCTTCTCAATGACTCCAGTAGTGCAAATATTGTTCTTTTTGGCCTGTCTTCTATTTCCACTATTTTTCTCTGATCCACTTTATATTTTTCTTTGTGTCATTTCATTCTCTTTGTTGTTTTCCTGCATTTCTTCAATGTCCCTTATTATTTTCATTTGAGTCTGTTTTCTCTTGGGCACTAAAATTTCTTCTTTATTTGTAATATCTTTTTTCTTTCATTTCTTTCCAGAGTTCAGTCAACTATTTTTCATTCTCCCCCTTTTTGGCCATTTCTGTTCTCAGTGTTTGAATTCATAATTTAAAGTGTATTTTTTCATATCTTTAAATCTTTGTTATGATATATTTAATTTGATTTGGAGTGTAAGCGTAAAGTTTCCTTCTGCTTCGTATTTTATTTTTGTTTTGTTTTTGTCTTTTTTTTTCTTTTGGAGGAGGGTGGTTGGATTTTCCTCTGTTGATTTCTGTGTAAATTCATTCTGCTGCAGTCCTTTTTGGATTTTATTGTTCTGAGTTTCCTTTTTGTGATACTAGAATATTTTACACAGTTCTAACTAAAAGGCACTCTTCACTGTTGTGTATTAAAATTCAAATACTTTAGCAGGTTTTGTTTGTTTTGGTGGTGGAAGAGGGATTGTGAGTCCACTAATTTTGTTGATCTTTTTTTTTTTTTATTGCTGAACTCTACATTTTCTTCATTTCTGCTTTACTACCTGATTGCTAAAGGACTCTTGTTCTTTCTTTTTTTTCTTTTATTTTCTCTTCCCAAAGCTGTGTGTTTGAAGATAGTTCCTTTAACTCATACTTGTTCATTTAAACTATACCTATTCCTTTAAATTGTGTGCCTAGCCCTTTAAAGAGATGCCTACACCCTTTCAAAGGCACAGACTTTGAAATCTCCTTTAGGATATTCTGCTCTGCTTAATCTTTCTGGTGCCCTCTCTAACTTTCCTTAAGGTCCCCTTGTCTTTTGCCTCTTCTGTATTCCTAGCAGTTTTTATTGACCTGTCTTTGCTTACAGCAAAGCTCTGTGGTGGGGGATGAAAGGGGCAGAAAGGCATAGAATTTGTTTCTTTTTCTCTTTTTACTCACTGTATATATTTAGCATTAGCATTCTTTTAAAGTAATATTGAGAATATGATTTTGTAGAGAGATTTCATGGTTCTTAAGTTATTGTGTACTGTTCCATGGAGGGATGGATATTGGCAGGTTATTTACAGTACACCTGTCATTGTCTTCAGTTGCATAAAAGTCCATATAGGATGCACATTTGCATGTTAAAAGAGCAATCTCATCTAGGCCAGTGGTTTTACTAACCACCTGTACAGCTGATGACACCCATATTTAGATTTTGAATTCAAACTTTTTCTAAGCTTTGGATCCACATATCCACCTATGATCATACAATCTCAAATTCAGCAAGCTCAAAACCCAACAATCTCCTTTCCCAGGAAGAATGATCTCCTCTCTCCTCTCACACACTCTGTTTTGGGTTGAAAAGTAGCATTCTCTACTGGGAAACTCAAGCTAGAAGTTTGAGAGTCATTTAGAGTTGCCTATCTTCCTTGCCCACACATCCAATTGACACTTAGTAAATGGCTATTGGATGAAAGTCCTCAAACTTTTGAGAAGAAGATGAGAAAGAAACAAAATTTCTGTCCATTGACAACACCTGGTATAGGGCTGGATTACTGTTCTTTGCTACTCAGGGTTAGATGTTGCTAGTGGTGGGAATAACAGCACGGAACACTTATAATTTAATAAGGAGTTTATAGGA